CTTCATTGTTGGTTGCGTCCGTCGCGGGCGATGGAAAAGTGGTGACAGAAGGGCATCACTGTAACATCAATGAGGTTGGCCAAGCAGCGAAGACGGACTCTGATGTTGTGGACACAGCGGAGGAGGTAATGAGGCAGTGGCGGAGGAGTATCGGCCCAGTGGCAAAGATAGTGCCTGAGAATCGGCGACTTCAGTGTTCATTGGGTCCGGTGTAGACAGCGGTGAAGTGGTTATGGATGGGTGGTGGCATCGTTGATGGTGATGAGCTGGCTCAGAACTGATGGTGTCTCTTCAAGCTATGTCTTTCTTTTTTGTTCCTTATTCATAAATTAATCAAAATGGTGTCATTTCATGGCAACAAATGAAAAAATGCATTATATTTTATTGGATTTTTACTATAAAATACACGTGACATTAAAATCAAAATCAATCAAAAATGTTCTTATCTATGTCTCCTGCACAGCTGCATGTTCTATATGGATACTGTTTTCTTGGGTCTACAGATCTACTATTGTTCTAACCTGTGCAGGCTTCATTAAGCAAATATTTTCCCAAGGTATCTAACTATTGTCAGCCATGTTCTGCTGCTTTTGCATGGGCAGCCATCTGCCATTCTGGGCTCAGTCATGAGCAGCTCTAACAGTTACTCTCTCTCGTATGAGGCTGTTTAGTGAAACCAGGGACGGATAAGGAAAGTATGGCCCCTCTTATCATAGGATGTGGGGTGGCGGGGGGGCAGCGGGACACAAAGCTGGAACAGGCTGAAGCTGCTGGAGTGAACAGGTTGAGAAGGAAGTCATCCAAACCTGGAGCTGGGATCTTTCTGTGCCAGGGATGGTTAGCAGGGTGACAATGAGAATGGCCTAATCAGGGATTATCTCTATTAGAGAAATGGACCACTCAGGGATTGTTGCTACCAGTGAAATGGAACAATCAGAAATTGTGGCTATCCATCAATTTGTTCAAAGTGCATCCCAGACAGAAAGTTCAGCTGGTACTGGTTTATAACCGGCAACATGGTTCTATAACCCACACAAACATGGTGACTGCACTTCTCCTGGTGTTTGTAATGGTTTCTGTGTATCTATAACCTTGAACTGGTGGTCTGCTTGACCATTTTGGAGGATAGTTTAGAGTCAGCCACATTGCTGTGGATCTGGAGTCACCTGTGCACCAGACCAGGTAACGATGGCAGATTAATGAAGGATATTAATGAACTTGATGGGTTTTTGTGACAATTGACAGTTGTTACATGGTGGCCATTAGGCCAGTTCTTTCACAGAATCACAGAATTGTTACAGCACAGTAAGGTATTCATGCCTCCAAAGTATGTTGCCTAATGCCTTCTCCAAATCCCTGAAAAACATTTCAATCCAAATAATCATCCAATGTCCTCTTGAATGCCTCAGTTGAACCTGCCTCTGCCACAATTCCAGGCAATGCATTCCAGACCTTAAGTAATCAATCACTTTATCCCAGATTTTAATTGAATTCAAATTTCGTCTGCCAGTTGAGATTTAAATCCTTGTCCCGAGACCATTAGCTTGGGCTTCTCTGGATTACCAGTCCAGTGACCTGAAGAAGAGTCCAGACCCGAAACGTTAGCTTTCCTGCTCCTCTGATGCTGCTTGGTCTGCTGTGCTCATCCAGCTCTACACCTTGTTATCTCAGATTCTCCAGCATCGGCAGTTCCTACTATCTCTGAGCACTATCCCACCATCTCTCCAGAAGGTGGAGGAATCATGTACAAAATATAAATAATGGAATATTAAGGACCAGAATAATAAAGGGTGACAATAATAAATAGCCATACGCGAGTCAAAAATAATGAAGCATTGCACTGATAGGGGTGGTGATGCCGAGTCCTCCTGCCGCGGGCGGCGCTGCCGCCGAGTCCTCCTGCCGCGGGCGGCGCTGCTGCCGAGTCCTCCAGACATTGTGCGCAGGCACGAGGCCTAGGCCCATGCTGGGAGTGCAGTGATGGCGGAGGAGAAGCGAGTGGAACTACGAGAGGAGGAAGTCGAGGAGGATGATGATGAGGAGGTGAGAGGGGAAGGCCGGCAAGCGGTAGATCTGTGCGTGCCGGGAGGGAGGTTAGTGAAGGCGACTCCCTGGGGGTTGGCACTGACTCTGCGGATCCCTTTCAGGCCGAATGGAACCGATCGTTGTCTCCTTCGGTGTGTTGTTTAACACTGAGCTGAGGTTCTGGCCACACGTTCAGGCCGCTTCTAAAGTCACCTTCTTAACATCGCTCTACGCCACCATGACCTTGACTCCTCCATCTCCATGTCTTTACTATCTCTGGAGTTCCCTCCTCTAACACACACCTTGGCGCTCTCCTACACCCTACCCTGCAGAACCCTCAGCCTCAACTCGCCCTCTTTTAATTTGGTTGAAGTCCGGTTCACCTAATGCCCTGCACTGGCTGTTGGTAAAGCACTGCCACGCTCCTCTCATTCTGGTCTCTACAACACCTTTTTTAGTTGCTCCACCTTTCGGTGTCTGGGTCTTAATTTCCCTCCCTAAGTCTTTCTGACTCTCTCCTCTTTTGAGACACGCCTTTAGACCGCCTGTCTTAAGATTTCCTCATTGATTCAGTGTCACATTTTGGATCCCTTCTGTGAAGTCCATATTAGAGATGTTAAAGGTGATTTTTAAAGACGAGTTGTCCCAGAGTAGGCTAATGGATTGGGTTGATATCTTGTGAAAAGTTGCTGCTTCTTAACTATTGCCTTCCCACAGTTACTTGGTGACATGTTCCTGGCACTCAGCGAATGATCATGGACACCACTAAACAGGGCTTCCAACCATTTAATGGCTTGTCCTTTGTGGCTGTGAGCTGTTTCATCTACGCTTCACGTTGACTGTCACATCTCTGGCTGTTAATATTATCAGTGTTATCGTTCTGCATATCGAAGGATTAATCCTGTACTTACAGGTTGATGAGTCCCTCTCTGAAAGACTGTGGGGTTTGACGGAGATGTTCCCTGAGGGAATGCGAAATGCCTCAGGAATCGCTGCCGACTGCTCAGTGTCACTGGCAAAGAAAATCTACAGGTATGTGGCATCTGGGATCAGCAGGTAAAGAAAGCTTGATATTTGGGATTGACACTGGGGATAAGGTGTCGCTGGCTCGGCCAACATTTATTGCCCATCCCTAACTGCCCCTTGAGAAGTTGTCGTGAGCTGCCTACTTGAACTGCAGTTCTTGGGGTGTAGAGGCAACATGCCATTAGGGAGGAAGTTCCAGGAATTTGACCCAGTGACACTGAAAGATAGTGAGTGGCTTGGAGGGGATCTTGCAGGTGGTGGTTTTTCCATTTATCTGCTGTCGTTGCCCTTCTAGACGGTAGATGTCAGGAGTTCAGAGGGTGCAGTTGGATGAACCCATTGAAGTCAGATGTTGAGGATTTGTGAGCTCCTCTGTCACTAACTGCTTGCTGTCCTGTGAGAGAAGGCAGCGGTTTGGGAAAGAATGTGGAAAATAATGACTGAGCAAGAAACAGTGGGTAAAGAAAGATGATGAAAACTGCAATGTTATGAACAAGTCAGTATCAGACCTGAAGGACAGTCTAGTGCGCTAATGAAAGATCTATACTGAACATAATGAGTAGGTGCTGGGCGAGCGGTATGATCCAATTGGTCCAATTTTTGGGGTGAGGAATAAGGGACTTGGGATGCATTTTTGCAAACTTTTGAAGACAGCGTTAAGACAGTAATGTAAAGAATGTGAAAAGGGGTGGTGATTACAGTACCTGGACTGCAGGGATATGGGTATTTACCTAAGCAATGGGAATATGGGTATTTAACTCTGCCAAAGGAATATGGGAATTTACCTATGCTGCAGGGAGGGCCACGGGATATGGCTACTTACCCAGCTGCAGGCTATGAAGGTTTTGCCAGGGCTCTGGAATGTAGGTATTTATCCAGGCACAGTGCAGGTGCATTTCTCCAATGTACAAGATATGTTTATTTACTCATGCCTTGGGGATAACGGTGCCTACCCGGTCCGCGGGGATATGGGTATTTATCTGGATTGTGGGGTATAAACATTTCCCTGGACATGTTTATTTACCCTGCCGTGGGGATGCAAATATTTCCTGGTGCCTTGGGAGATGGGTATTTACCGGGGCTATGGGATCATGTGTGATTATCAGGGCTGCGGGGATACATGTATTTATCTGGGCTGCAGGAATATGTGTATTTATTTGGGGTGCAAAAATATGGCTAATACCCAAACTCTGTGATTTTTCAGTTTCGCCCGGTCAGCCCTTTGGGTGGGAACCACCTCCTTCATGATCCTGGTTCTGCCGGTTGTGTTCGAAACAGAGAAACTCCAACTGGAGCAGCAACAAATCCAGCAACAGAGACAGGTATGGAGTGGGGCAGGGGACAGTATGGATTGTGCACAGACAGGGTTATAAACATATGAGTGAGGAGCAGAAGTATGCCATTCCTATCATTAAGCCTGCTCTGCCATTCAGTAAGTTTGTGGTTTATCTATTTGTATTGATTTCCACATTCCCCCTACTCCCAATACCATTTGATTCCTAATGCCTATTGCCTAACAGCAATCTATCTACCGCCATCTTAATAATAGGCCCCACCTTTAAAGGCAGAGAATTCCAAAGTTGCACAGTCCTCAGAGAGAAAAAAAATCTCTTCACATCCCTGTCCTGAAAAGGTAACCCTGGTTCTGGACGGACCCACAAGAGGAAGCATCCTTTCCATGTCCACCTCAACAAGACCATTCAGGATCTTATGCATTCAACTAAATCACTCCTCACTGTTCCAAGCTCCAATGGAAACGGGCCCGGCTTGTCCAACCTTTCCTCGTAGGACAACCCGTTTATTCCAGGTATCAATCCAATAAACCTTCTCTGAGCTGTCTTCAATGCAGTTACATCCTTCTTTAAGTAAGGAGACCAAAACTGCACACAGTATTCAAGATTCTTTTTAACTTTGCTTCTTGTTTTTTTTTTTATCTACGGTCATACTGTGTATAGCTGTAACGTAAGTTTATTTTCTTCATTTCCCTGTTCTGTAATTAAGTGGTGACTTATAAACTTTTCACTGTACTCATTTGAGTACCTGTAACAATAAAGCTAATTCAGTTCAATTCAGATGTGGTCTCACCAATAACAGAAGCATGACATCCATTGGAAAAGGCTGAGATCCCATCACAGATCCCTACGAGACTCCACTCATCATATCGTGCAATCGGACAAAGAGCCTTTTATTCATTTTCTGTTTTTTGCCAGACAGTCAATCTGCTATCCGTGCTAGAATGTTATTCCTGACACATTGAGCATTCATTTCTTGCAGTAACCTTTGATGTGGTACTGTTTCAAATGCCTTTTTGAAATCCAAGTAGATTTTGTCCATTTGGTTCCTCTTATCTACAGTGTATGTTCCTTCTTCCAAGAAGTCTAACAAGTTGTTAAACATGATTTTCCTTTGATTAAATCATACTGACCTGTTTTTTTTTTCTAGATGTGCAGCCTTAATTACTTTAATGATAGATTCTAACACCTCCTGTACACCAGACATCAAGCTATCTGGCCTACAGTTTCCTTTTTTCTGCTTCCCTCCCTCCCTTATTGAACAGAGATGTGACCTTGGCTATTTTCCAGTACAACAGAACCTTTCCTGAATCTAGGGAATTTTGGAAAATTACTCCAACTCATCTATACCTCTAGCAAATGCTTTTAAGACCCAAGGGTGAGGTCCATCAGGACCCAGAGACTTGTCAGTCTGCAGCTCCATCAGTTTGCTCGGTAAAATTACAGTCACCAGGGAAGTGGTATGAAGTTATTGTCTCCATTCCACCTCCTGATTTACAGCTATTACTGGAATTATTTTTATGTTCAATAATGAAGACAGAAAGAAGATATTTATTCACTTGCCATTTATTTATTATCTACCATTAACTCTCCTTCTCATTCTCTAGCGTTTACTTACTCTTTTCCATTTTAAATACTGAGTGAAACTCTTGCTAAATGTTTTTACATTACTAGCTAGCTTTGTCTCAAATTTGTGTCTTAGATCATAGAATTATACGGCAGAAGAATCCTTTTGGACCATTAAGTCTACACTGACAAAAAAAACTGCACTAAATCTACACTAATCCCACTTTTCAGCATTTAAATATAGCCTTGAATACTTTGTCATCCAAAGCACTTTTTAAAGGTGTTAAGGTTTCCCACCCAACTACCCTCCCAGGCAGTGCATTTCCAGATTCCCACCGCAGTCTACATGAAAACATTTTTATTCAACTCGCCTCTAAACCTCCTGTCCTTCACCTTAAAATTAAGTCCCCTGTTATTGACTCTTCAACTAAGGGGAACAGTTGCTTTTTATCCCCCTGTCCATTCTCCTCATAATCTTGATTATGTCTTAGTTATCTTCTTCCCCTTGATAATACTTATAGAATGTCTTGGGATTCTTCTAATCTTACCCTCCAATGTTTTATTGTGCTCCCTCTTTGCTCTTCTAATGGCTTTCTTTAGTTTCCCGTTGCACATTCTCTTCCAGAATGGGACCTACATTGATTTGCTCTCTTCATACCTGTTAAAAGCTTTTGTTTTCTTTTTATCCAGTCCTGAATATTTCCAGACATCCAGGGTTGCCTGAGCTTGTTGCTTCTACATTTTACCCTAAAGGGAATATGCTGGGTCTGTGCTCGCACCAATTTCATTTTGACCACTCTCCACCATTCTGATGAATTAACCAGTCTATCCAGACTGCTGTTCTCAGTCTACTTTTGCCAGATCCTGCCTTATTTAATAAAATCTGCCTACTTCCAATTCTGCACCCTGGAATGTTGAGGTGCCAATCCTGTCCCTTTGTCAACCATGTCTGTGCGATGGCAACAATGTCACAAATCCGCATGTCAGTCCACCCCCTTAATGCATCTATCAGACCAATAATACTCCAAGCGTTAATGTAGAGGCAATCCAGCCTTGCTTTATTCCCATGAAACTCAATATGGCTGAACTCCCTCTGCCTTGGTTCCTCTATTAAAGCTGTGTCCCAATTGTACTAATACTGTGTCCCCTGCCCCTGCTGAACAAGTTTAAATTCCCTACAACAGCATTAGCAAACCGATCTGCAGGGATAAAAACTGAAAGAACTGCAGATGCTGTAAGTCAGGAACAAAAACAGAAGTTGTTGGAAAAGCTCAGCAGGTCTGGCAGCATCTGTGAAGAAAAAAATCAGAGATAATGTTTCAGATTCAGTGACCCTTCCTCAGAACGGGTCCTGAGAAAGGGTCACTGGACTTGAAACGTTATCTCTGAATTTTTTCTTCTCCGATGCTGCCAGACCTTCTGAGCTTTTCCAGCAACTTCTGTTTTTGACTTGCAGGGATGTTAGTCCCATTCTGGTTCAGGTGCAGACTATCTCATTTGTAGAGGTCCCACCTTCCTAAGAAATGATCCTGGTAATCCAGGAATCTAAAATCGTCCCTCCTGCACCAGTTCTCGAGCTGAGCATTTATCTGCTCTGTCCTCCTAATTGTGTACTCACCAGCACATGGCACTGGGAATAATCAAGAGATTGTAGGTCCTGCTCTTTAGCCTATTGCCTGGCTCCCTGAGTTCTACCTATATGGTTGATACCAATGTATATAACAACCACTGTCTTGTCATCCTTCCCTTTCAAGATACACTGCAGTTGCTCAGTGACATCTCTGACTCTGCATTAGGGAGGCAACACACCATCCTGGAGTCACATCTGTGGCTGCAGAAACACCTGTCTGTTCCCCTAAATAGTGAATCCCCTATCACTATCGCTTCTGATTTCTTCTTTCTGCCCTCCTGTACAGTTAGGCCGTTCATGGTGCCAGAAGCCTGGTTCTGTCTGCACTCCCTTGAGTAACCAGTTCGCTTCCAGAATAGAAGAGTGATCTGTGAGTGGGATCACAAGGGTCTCCCGCACTACCTGCCTGATTCTCTTTGAATGTCTGGTTACTCCCTTCCTTCCTGTCGTCCCTTAAGCTGCAGTATGACCACCTCTCTAAACTATCCATGAACTCTCAGCCTCACAGATGTGCCACAGCGTCTTCAGCTGCCACTCAAACTCATCACAGAGCTCAAGTTTCTCTGTTGGGATCACTTTCTGCGCACAATATCATCTTCAACACTGGTTTGATCCATTACTTCCCACATCTGACAGGTCACACGTTCCATTTGGCTGCCATGACTTAGACATGAGCTTCCTTAGTCTTATTGCTAACTTCTGTGATTACTTAAAGATACTCTCTTCAGCTCAGCTTGAGCCTCTTCCTCTTGTTCTCTGACCTTTGCTTTTCCCTGATGCTTCTCAGTAAATTCCTTAACAATCTCCTGGCTCTTGGGCCTTGGTCTACTCCTATCCCCACTCTGAAAGTAATTAGGAAAACAAGACAGCAGAAACAAGGAAAAACCTCCCTCCCACACCACCAAACACTCTCACTTATCAAACTGCCACACTTCCTCACTCTGCAGGTTACACTCTTAAACTTCTAGTCATTCTCTTCCATTCTTTGTATTCTGACCCAGTCATCTCACCTACCATTTACCTCCACGCAATTGAATGCCTTTTCCTTAATACTTTTTTTTAATACTTTCCCTAATTTCTTTATTTAACATTGGATGATGTGACCTCCACTTAGAATTTTTCTTTATAGTAGGAATATACTTACTCTGAAATAGTCCTTTAAATGCTTGCCACTGCATCTCTATTATCTATCTCCGAGTTCACTTCCGCTAACTCAGTTTTAATGTCCACATAGTTGCCCTGAATTAGGTTTCAAGTAATAGTTTTAGACCCAATCCTCTCCTTTTCAACCTAGGTGTATAATTGTAGTTATTGCTACCTCAGAGTGCCTTTACTCTGAGGTCATTTAACTAATTGTCACAATGTACAGTGCCAAATCCAATATAACCTACTTACTGTCTAGTGGATTCCAGAAAGTGCTGTTCTAGTAAACAATCTTGAAAGTATTCTTAGAGCTTCTCATCCTGGTTTTGACTGACAATCTGGTTTTTTTTCACTTCATATGTAAATTAAAGTCACCCAAGATTACTGCAGTCCCTTTATCATAACACAGTGTCTCTTCTTGCAAACTCTGTCTTGCATTGTAATTACGTTAAGGGGCCTGTAGACCACTCACACTAGTGACTTTTCTCCGTCTTATTCCTCATCTCCACCCCAACCTATTTTACTTCCTGATCCCCTGGGTTGGGGATGGGGCTGGGGAATTGAGCACGGGATTTTGGCACAAGGGTTGGGGGTTGGAGAGTGGGGTCTGGTTGGGTGCAGGGCAGCAGCAATGGGACAGTCTGGAGATAGTTTTCAGTAGCATGGGCCTGTTGAATGGAAATTGGGTTTTACTGGTTGGGTGGCTATGCAGGGTTAGTGGGTGTGTGATTTTTCAGGCTGGTTTAATTTCTGTTCATTCCTAACCTGATGTTTCTTTTTCTCTCAGATTCTGTTAGGCCCGAATACGGGTCTCTCTGGTGGAATGCCGGGAATGCTGCCACCGCCAGTTCCTGGGAAAATATAATGCATTAGACGCCTTGAGAAGAAAGTGCCGATGTAATGGGAAGGGATTGATATACCTTTGGGGTGGGGTGGGAGATTTGATGTTACGAACTGATGCTGTATCAGCTGCTCATTGCCAGCAAGATATGAATTCATCCTCCGTGTTCACCTCTGGAGCGTTTGGACATCCTGACAGACTAAGTCTCATCGGCAAACATTGTCAGCTCAGGATTGGAGGGTGGCGAGAATCGGAATTCTAATCTGCTGGAACATTCATTGTTTTGGGGGAACATTGGGGGGAGGGGCGGGTGCAGTCTGATAGGTTCTCGGAGCCATTTTTCTAATGAACTGCAAAGTATCTCAATCGCAGCCAGCATTTATCTGAGTCACTCTATTGGGAACCAGCTGTGGGAGCTGGAGTTTTAGACAGATTGGCAGGTCAAGTTTGTCGCAAAATGGTGGAGGTGTGAGGGACTGCCCTGTGCCAGTGCAATACAGTGGAAGGGTGTAAGGGATTCCTTTGTGTCAGTGCAGTGGAAGGGTGTGAGGGACTGCCCTGTGCCAGTGCAGTGCAGGGGAGGGGTGTGAGGGACTGCCCTGTGCCAGTGCAGTACAGGGGAGGGGTGTGAGGGACTGCCCTGTGCAAGGGCAGTACAGGGGTGGGGTGTGCGGGACGGTTGTGTTCTTGTTCTTGGTTGCACCCTGTTCTTTCACTTCAGGAACAAAGCAAACCCAGAGTCTGTTTTTGTGTCCCCTCCGGTGATTAAGTTGTGGCAGTGATTTGTGAATTCAGGGAGGATCCTAAGTTGTTTCTGACACAGATTCAGGGTTACTGTCTGAGCTGAGCTGGGCATGGCTGTGGTTCCGGACCAGGGTGGCACAGGTGGTGGCAAGTGTCCTCAAAGCCAGTGACTTGCTGCAGGAAAGGGACGTGCCAGGTTCCTCCTGCCTGGTACCTACCTCCAAACCTGGGGGCTGGGTGGCCCAGAGGCTGCTTGGCAAACTTGGTGCCCTCTGGGTCTTAGTGTAACAAGTGAGATGGAGACCTGGCCGTCTGAACACTGAAATCTGCAGGATTTGGAAACCCAGGCAGCTCCAATTGAATTTACCCGAGACCGGGCTGGTCTGACACTAAGGTTCCCTTCTGCAAACCTCACATTGAGATGGAATCAGTTTGAATATTCCACCTGCAGGAATGGTGGAAAATGCTGTGTGACTTGAAGTCGGGGTTTAATAAATGCTTGATACTGGATTGTGAGCAATTTAATCTGAATGAAAGAAAGCAACGAGATCCAGCAGCAGCTGAGTCCATGTTTCTGCCTTGCTGTCTGCTGGATTCTAGGGTTCAGAATCTGGATCATTGCACACTGTCAAATTTAAAAGATCTGGTTGGCACCAAACAGATCATCTTAATAATCCACTGGTTCACTCTGCTCTGAAGAGTCAAATTGGACTCAACATTACCTCTGTTTCTCTCTTCATAGTTGTGTGAGAACTGCTGCATATTGAAGACTTTATTGTAACAAACAAACAGCATTGACTAAATGTTGCTAAGCTGGCAGCCAATACTCTACAGTAAAGATACTTTCTTGTTAACTAATTAACACAACTGAAAATGCCCTGCCTCACTTACACATTACGCCATGCAAATATGTATTCTTGTGGATAAAGTCTCAAACTTCTCCCTGTCATGGTGAGTGTTCTGGTGTCCTGTTGAAAGACCATTCACTCAGTCTTTTGAGTGGGTGTACCAGGGTATCATCTTGATTCTTAAATATCTACAAATCTGGCACAATACCAGCTGTTTTCAGTCATCCTGTCCAGATCGAGTCTGTATAGAGAGAGAGACTACTGCATCTATTTTGTTTGCTGGTGTGAAAATTGGTGTTTGAATTTTTATGGGATTTGGCTTCAGCCTCTGTTCCCATTTCAAACAGTTCACATGGATTTGTCTGCAGTCAGAGATTAGAACGAATGTGCCATTCCCCATTCCAGGACATTCTGTTTGACGTTATTTAAAAGAAGGCAGTCTAATAAAACAGTGGCCTGTGGAGACTGTGTAAGTGGGCTGCTGTGCCGCCTTCAAGATGCAAGGAGGAACAGGTAAGTGCATCTTTGAAAGATGCTTCGGAAGCGTCAGACCATTGAGTGTTGGAGTTGGGATGTCATGTTCAGATTGTACAAGATGTTGGTGAGGCCAGTTTTGGAGTACTGTGTACTGTTTCGGTCGCCCAGCTATAGGAGGGATATTGGAGAGGGTTCAGAAAAGATTTACCAGGATGTTGCCGGGGTGGAGGGTTTGACTTGTAAGAAGCTGGTTAGACTGAGATGTTTTTCACTGGAATGTAGGAAGTTGAGGGGTGATCTTAGAGGCTTATAAATCATGAGGGGCATAGATAAGGTGAATAACAAAAGCCTTTTCCCAAGGTGAAGGAGTTCAAAACAAGGGGGCATATTTTTCAGGTGAGAGGAGAAAGATTTAAAAGGGACCTGAGGAGCAACCTTTTCACACAGAGGTCGTTCATATATGGAATAAGCTACCAGAGGAAGTGGTAGATGCAGGTACAGTTACGACATCTAAAACATATTTGGACAGATACATGAATAAGAAAGGTTTTAGAGGGATATGGCTCAAACGCAGGCAAGTGGAACTAGTTTAATTTGGGAAACTTGGTCAGCGTGGTCGAGATGGGACTGAAATGTCTGTTTCTGTGCTGTATGACTCTAAGATACTTATCACTAGATCATTACCTGCATCAGGCCACAAGGGACCATAAGGCGAAGGAGCAGAAATTAGGCCATTCGGCTCATTGAGTCTGCTGTGCCATTCAATCATGGATGATAAGTTCCTCAACTGCTTTCTCCCCGTAACCCTTGATAATCAAGAACCTATCTATCTCAGTCTTAAATGTACTCTGACCTGGCCTCCACAGCCTTCAGTGGCAGTGAATTTCCATAGATTCACCACTCTCTGGCTGAAGAAGCTTCTCCTTATCTCTGTTCTAACAGATCTTTCCTTTACTTTAAGGCTGTGCCCTTGGGTCCTAGTCTCTCCTACAAATGAAAACATCTTCCCAACATCCACTCTGTCCAAGCCATTCAGTATTCTTAAGTTTCAATTAGATCCCCCCCTCATCCTTCTAAACTCCAATGAGTATGGACTTAGAGTCCTCGATCGTCCCTCATGTTAAGCTTTTCATTCCTGGGACCATTCTTGTGAACCTCCTCTGGACCCGCTCCAGGGCCAGTACATCCTTCCTGAGATATGGGACCCAAAACTGCACACAATACTCCAAATGTGGCCTGACCAGAGCCTTATAAAGCCTCAGTAGTACATCCCTGCTTTTGTATTCAAGTCCTCTCAAAGTAAATGCCAACATTGCATTTGCCTTCCTGACCGCTGACTGAACCTGCAAGTTTACCTTGAGAATATCCTGGACTAGAACTCCCAAGTCTCCTTGCACTTCAGACTTCTGAATTTTCAGGCAGAGGCCTGATTTTAATAAATCAGATATGATTTGACCAGAGTGGACTGAGAGCAGATACTTTTCAGTAAATCAGTCTCAGATCATTGGTTACATTCAAGAAGGAAATTGGGAGAGTGCAGGCCAGGCTTGTTCCAATAAAAATAAAGACCAACAAATCCAGCGAACTCTCGATAGAGGGATACATAAGATTGGATAAAGAAGAACAGGATGTTTTTGGCAGGTACCAGAGGCTCAGCAATAGAAGCCTTAGGGGAGTATAGAAAACGCAAGGGAGGAATTAAAAAGGGAATTAAAGCAAAAGAGGGGCATGAAAGGATAATGGCAGGTAAAATAAAGGGAAAATCCTGAGTTATTTTACAAGTATATTAAGTGTAAAAAGATAATGAGAGAAACAGTAGAGCCATTTAAGTTTTATAATAGTAATTTGTGCATGTAGCCAGAGGATGTAGGTAGAGCTCTAAATGAATACCTTGGGGTTGGTGTTCACTTATGAGAGGGACAACATGGGCATAGAAATCAGGGAGGACTGTGATACAATGAAAGAAACTAGCATAGACAGAGGAGGGTCTGAGTGGCCTGGCAGGTTTAAACCACTTCCATGGCTTCATCATCTAAAATTTAATCCAGGACCATCACTCTTCTGTATGGCCTTCCACATACTTAAAAACTTCTCGGATGCATTTTGAGAATTCCACCCTCTTTTCACGATGATTACCCCAGTTAATGTTAAGGAAGTTTAAGTATCCTATTACTTTTACACTTCTCTGAAACTTGCCTATATATCTGCTCTTCTATAACTCTCAACTGTTAGATGGCCTATAGTACAGTCCCTGCAATTTGATTGCTTATTTTTAGTTCTTAAATACCACCCACCCATATGTTTTAATTTGAGGAGCCTTCTTATATGTCATTCCTCTTTACTGTTGTAATGGAATCGCTAATCAATATTGCAATACATACTCCTCTTTTACTGTCTTCCCTGTCTTGCCTGAAGACTGTCTATCCTGGATTATTAAAATGTTAATCCTGCCCTTTGCAACCATGTTTCAGTGTCAGTGATGGCATCATATTCCCACGTTTCAATTTGCGCCCTCTACTCATCTGCCTTGTGCGTCAGACTCCTTGCATTAAAATAAATATCCAATCTTGCCAGACTTCCCTGTGCCTTATTTTGTTTTAAATAATGCCTTAAAATAAAATAAGGAAGTGCAAATACTGGAAATCTGAAACAAAAACAAATTGCTGGAGAAACTCAGCAGGCCTGTCAGCGTCTGAGGAGAGAAAGTAGAGTTCACGTTTTGAGACCAATGACTTCTTCAGAACAGTTCTAATGCTCAGAACAGTCAGGACTTCCCTTATGACCCTTTGTTATTTCCTCTATAAAGGAAATATGTTTATATGAGGATACTCTAAACTTACATCTCTTATGCCAACTCTGCTTCCCTCAACTTCCTTTGCTTATTCATATAACTATTATATTGACTTATTTATATCACTATTATGTTGTCTTTCACTTATTCCTGTTGTTTTTCAGTTAATCACTTCTTCCGAAAGAAATGTGGGGTTACAGGGATAGAGAGGGATGCTCTTCGGAGGGCTGGTGCAGACTGGATGGGACGAATGGCCTCTTTCTGCACTGTATGAATTTTGTGAAAAGATGCTCTTTGTAAAATTACAAACCAATTATGCATCACGTCTCTGTGGTGTCTCTATTTGATTTATTTCCCCAATCAGCGGGCCCTTGAAGCTGTGTTGTTCAACTCGACTGTATTGGGTGAATGCATAACTTACAAGCAGACCACGAGGTAGGCACTTGAACGAAGAACCCTTTATTCTATGTCTGTACATACTCGAACCTACTCGCTTAAAGAAGCAGCAAGTACATACAGTACATACATTTACTGACTCCAGCTGTTTTGGAGCTCCAGTCGCATCTTGGCAAGTATCATAAGACATGTTTGTGATGAGTTAAACGTGCCTTAAAGGTAGAAGGACATTCGAAAATCCTTTAATCGCTGGGATGCTGAGGCATTGAGGGAATTAGCAAGTGAGGCTATAATCAATGGGGATAACACGGTGTAGAGCTGGATGAACACAGCAGGCCAAGCAGCATCATAGGAGCAGGAAAGCTGACGTTTCGGGCCTAGACCCTTCATCTGATATCTCAGATTTTCCAGCATCTGCAGTTCCTACTATCTCTGAGGCTATAATCAACGTTCGTTTAAAAGTAGGACTTCGTCGTTGAAATATTTCGCTTAGGCCCTTTTCCCGTTCGGGTGGAGGTGAATGATTTCATGGCTCTCGTCTAAAGAAGACGGTAAGAGCCTGGAAGCTGAGGGGTCATTCCTATATATCAAACAGTCTACAATAGTTAATGAGGTAGGCGCTACATAAATGAAAGTGCTTAACGTTCTGATTGGCTGTTGGGAAGGGGCGGGACCTACGCCAGCCAATGGTTGTTTATTTGCTGCCACCGCCTCCGGGCCGAAATCGAACGTCACGTGGTGCTGAACGGCGCTGCTATTGGTCGGGTACCGACGTGGGCGGGCTGTGGAGTCACGTGCCTTATAGCGGTGCTGCGATTGGACATGTCCCCGGCGGGGGCGAGGCTGTGATATCGCATGTCGTTAGTGTTGGAGATGGCGGCAGGGGATACTTGTGGGGAATGTGGTCTTGGGCGGTACCGTTCACCGCTGGTCAGCCGCTACTCATCTCTGGAGATGGCCTTCAACTTCAGTGAGGCCAAGAAATTCACTACGTGGCGCCGGCTCTGGCTTTACCTAGCGACAGCAGAGAAGGTAAGACGGCTACCGCCCTCCACCCACCCACACACACACTCACTCACTCCCTCCCCCTCCCCCCCCCCTCCTCTTTCTGCCCCCCCCCCCCCCCCACGCCTCAC